ACGCTGTAATAAAAGTTATGTGATTTTGATCTCTCTCAAGTATCTTATTGTACTGTACTCATATTGACCCTTCTTCTTTTTGGGGTGATGGGAGATGATACAGTGCCTAAGTAACGAGTTGAAGTGAGGTGAGTGACATAGGCATTGTGATGGAGCATTAGGCTACTATTGATCTTCTGAGGACATGTCAGAAGGGGGATAATTTGCTTTCTGACTGCAGTTGACCGCAGGTAACTAGAACCAAGAAAAGCGAAACTGCTGATAAAGGAGAACTACCGTATACTTTACTGAGCTTTCTGGGAATCATCAATTCCAGAGACGCAGATGCCTGTTTTGTTATTGACTACATGCTTGCGTCTGTTATAGACAATAGTGTGAAAAATAAGAGGGGCAAAAACTACAGGATAGCCATAAACTCATTGGAAATAGTCTTAAGAACAGGATTTTTAGGAGAAGGGAAAATATCATAGAGTTAATTTAACTGCAAAAGTGAGAACTAATTAAGTACTGCTTTGATGGAGGTGCTCCTAAGTTAAAACCTAAATGATAGCAGCACCTCTATGTTTAAATAGAATTATTTCGTAGGGGGAAAAATAAAGCCTGACTTCATACAGACTGGCATCCTCAAATGGTGATCTCAACTAAAACTCTCCATTGGAGAAGGTATAAAATAGGCTACAAATACCTGGGTAAATAAAAATTAGTTGGCGTCATGAAATCTGGGAGAGTTTTTAGTTGAGGATGTAAATACGGTTATTGTTAGTTTCTACTCTATGAGTGACTATTGGATATAGGTGATTTTGAAGTGAATCAGACATCATGTTCAACCCCAAGAAATATATAGTGCATTTTCTAGCATATTATTTAGGATAACATATTTTAATCTCTAGAATGATGATTGCCCTAGTTTGAGATATAAATTTATATTTTTTATTTTCTATTTTTAAATTTTCTGGTTTTTAAATCTTACCTGACGAAACCAAAGCTATACTCTAAAATCATTTCTTTCATAAAAAAAAGTGCAGCCAGTGTTGGCAGCCTGGTCCTATGGCCAAGTGGTTAAAGTCCCCCTCACTCCACTTCAGTGGCCTTAGTTCGCAGGTTCGGATCCTGGGCGCGGACCACCTCCACTCACCAGCTATGCTTTGAGGGGTCTCACATACAAGATAATAGAGGAGGATTGGGACAGATGTTAGCTCAGGGCAAATCCTCCTCAAGCAAAAACAGAGGAGGATTGGCAATGGTTGTTAGCTCAGGTCAAATCTTCCTCAGCAAAAAAAAAAAATCAGTACAGTGTTGGGCATATTTATTATTTATGTCAGAATATACTCACATAACTATACTTAAAATACTTGGGAATTTACTCAATTTACTATTTTTAGGACATATTTAAAAACTGTCATTTCAGTTTAAATGGCAAAAACTATAACTGTGGGCTATAAAAGTGTTTCAGTGAATAGATTAATCTAATGATATCATTTGATCACCTTCCTTTAGGCCAGCAGCAGACTTAAGAATTTTTTGAGATTGGTAGAGTTTTCATGTGACGTCTCTTACTTGCAAAAGCTCACATTAAGAATAACGTTTTTTTGTTTGTTTGGACTGATATTTTACTTCTTAAAGAGAAGATTTTTAACTTGTATATATATTTAATGGACTAAGCCAAAGAAGCTAGACTGTACTTTCAAATATAATTACCAATAAAAAAGTTATGTTGCAAACGTATTTATTTGAAGCCTCACAATATCTACAGTCTACTCTGAAAGCACATTATGACAGGGATCCATCGTACTCAGAACTATTTTTTGGAATATTTAAAAAATTACAAATATTTATGGGAAAACATTTTTTGTTTATTGTGTAAGATATTGCATATTTTTTCCATTTTTAACTAAATATGATTTTTTTCTAAAGTATAATTTAAAACATGAAGATACATAAAATCTAGGTAAATTCATCAAATCTTTTTCATTTATTTGTCCTTCAAAGTGATGTTTCACTGTTTGAATTTCCTTATCAGGAACACCTAAAAATGAGTCAATGAGCTGCTCTTAGTTCTAAAGAAGAAATATCTATTTTACAGGATTCCTACATAGTCATGCTTCTGTACGGCATATTAGAAGGGACTCTGACCAAGGAATCAGAATTCAGGATTGCATGTGTGAATTCTACAACTTACTAGTAGTGGATTTTGAGCTGTACTTGAATCATTTAAATATTCCTCAGGGACAACAGTACCTACTCTTTAAACTTAGAGTTTGAAGGAAAACTAAGTGAAACAATTTATTGATGTGAAATTTGTATATTATATTTCTTTACATGGATCAAAAAAGAGTTATGGTACAGCCAGTGGGGGTTCCCAAGTAGTTCATCTATTCCTCCACATTTGCCAAAGTTTTGCAGGTGGATATGATTAGATGGGTAGAAGTAGTATGTGTTGTTCAGAGGCAAGAGTGTGAAGAGACAGTCCGCAACCATCCAGCATCTATCTCTCTTTCATAGTTCCTGATTGAACTTTGTTTTAAGCATGAGATATGAGAGAAAAGGGATGATTACAAGGTACATGCCTTGAGCAATGAGAAGAATGAGGATGCCAGCAATTAAGATGAGGAAGGCTGTGGCACAGGTTTAGAGGCAGAATAGAGGCAGGCTGAAGACTTAAAGTTTGAGATGGCAATTATATATCTAAGTGGAGATGTCATGTAGTCCATTGGATTTATCAGTATAGTCTTCCAGAGAATTCTGGACTGGAGGTATAAGCATAGGAATTGGCATATGGTTGGCCTTTAAATCCATGAGAGACTACCAAGGGATGGAATGTAGATATGGAAGAGGAATAGAGACTGAGCACTGTGTCACTCCATTACAAGATTAGGTAGAAGAGGAAGAATTAGCAAAAGAGACTAAGAAAAACAACCAGAAAGTTAAAAGAAATCGCAAAAGTGTGAGATGTACTAGAAGTCAAGCAAAGAAAATATACCACGGAAAAGGGAATTATCGGCTGTGTCAAATAATGCTCCTTGATAGCTCAGTGAAAATAAGGAGTAAAAAATTGACCATTGAGTTAGCAAAATGAGATTCCCATTATCTCTTGCTGTATAGCAACCCATCCTAAAATGCAGAGCTTAAAACATAAATTTATTGTTATCCCTTCTGGTTCTATGTGTTGACTTGTCTCTGTTGGGTGATTCTCATTTGAGATCTTTCAGGCAGTTGCAATCAGATATCAGTTGCAGCTGTAGTCATCTGAAAGCCCTGCTGGTCTGAACATCCCTGATGGATCCCTCACACGGGTAGCAGTTGATGCTGACTGTCAGTTGGATGCTCAGCTTGGGCTGTGTGGTAGGCAGAAAAGTGACTTCCCAAAGATGTCCATGTTCTAATCCCCATAATCTGTGAACAGTTTATGTCATATGGTAAAGGGAAATTGAGGTAGTAGATGGAATTAAGGTTGCTAATCAGGTGACCTTAAGATAAGAAAAATCTCCTGGATGATCCTACTGAAATCAATGTAATCACAAGGGTCTTTGAATGTAGAAGAGGAAGGCAGAAGACAATGTGAAGCAAGGCAACGTTATCACTGACTTTACAGTTTGAGGAAGGGGACCGCCAGTCAAGGAATGCAAATGACCTCTAGAAACTGGAAAATTCAAGAAAATAGATTCTTCCCTAGAGTCTCCAGAAGAAAATGTAGCCTGCCCACATTTTGATTTTAGCTCAGTGAGACATGTCTCAGAATTCTGACCCCCAGATCTGAAAGACAATAATTTTTGTTGGTGTTGTTTTATGATATGGAGTTTCTTTGTTATTGCATTAATAGGAAACTAATACAGGCTGACAAAAAAAGCAACTATTTAGAGGCTGGCCCTGTTGCCAAGTGATTAAGTTCACGCATTCCGCTTTGGCGGCCCAGGGCTCGCCAGTTTGGATCCTAGGTGTGGATCTATGCACTGCTCATCAAACCACACTGTGGCAGCATCCCACATAGAACTGGAATGACTTACAACTAGGATATACAAATATGCACCGGGGCTTTGAGGAGGGAAATAAAAAGAGGAAGATTGGCAACAGATGTTAGCTCTTTTTGTGTTAACACACAAAAAGAATAAGAAGAAGTCAGGGATGTTAAAAAAAAAAAAAGCAACTATTTGTCACCTTCCCTTCTGGCTTCAGTGTCTCTGACTGCAGAGGCTAGTTCCAAGAGTCAGTGCCCTAAGAAAAAGTTACCCCAAAGATCCAAGCAGAAGCTGCAAGGCTTCTCACAATATCGTCTCAGAAGTCTCAAAATGTCACCTCTGCTGCATGCTATTATCAAATAATTAACTAAGATGAACCCAGATTCAGGGGTCGTTGAAGTAGACTACACCTGTTAACATGAGAAGCAGCACGCTTGTACAGGAAAGAAGGAATTGATGGCAGATGTCTTGAAGAGTCTCCATCATAGTGGATGAAAAAGGAGAGCAATACCAGTATAGCAGTGGAGTGAAAACCTGCTAAAGTGGGCTTAAGGGAGAATCAGATGAGATAAATGTGACGAGAAAAGTTTAGATAATTACTTTGAGAGAGCTTATACAAAGAAGAGCAAAAAGTAATTTGGCAATGGGAAGAGAAGTGGCATTAAAGAAAAAAATGGATGAGAGAAAGAATATCATATTTGTATGCTAATTGTAATGACTCATTAACGAGACAAATTTTATTTCTTTCATTTATATGTATGTGCATGTCTGAATATTACAAAATTTTGTTACTAGTACACACCATATAAGAGTTCTCAAACATATTTTGGAGGCATCCAGTCCTAGCTTTGGTTCCAAAGTTTCCATGTCAATATTTATCAGGGTATGTGAGTCCACGCAAGGTTTATATGCTGAAGCCCTAACTCCTGATGTGACTGTACTGGAGATACTGTCTTTAAAGAGGTGAGTAAAGTTAAATGAGGTCATAAGGGTGGAGTCCTGATCTCATAGAACTGGTACCCTTATCAGAAGAGGAAGACTTACACCAGAACTCTCTCTCTCCATGAAGTGAGGCTACAACATGAAGACAGGTGTTTGCAAACCACGATGAGAGCTGTCACCAGAACCCAACCATGCTGGCATCTGATCTCAGACTTCCAATCTCCAGAACTGTGAGAAAACACATTTCAGTTGTTTAGATGACCAGTCTACAGTATGTTGTCACAGCAGCCTGAGGTGACTAATACAGTACGTAAACGGAGAGGCAGGAGTGAAGGAAAGGGAAAATGAGCTAGAGAAGGAGAGAGAGAAAACAGGAAGGGAGATTACTAAACCAGTGACTGAATATTTAAGCATAATTGATTGTCTACTTATATTTAAAATTTTTTTAAATGAAAGATCTAAAAAAATTCCTACAGGTACTCTGTAAAACAGAAAATTCAGAATTCACTCTAATTCACTTAAAAAATCTAGATAAGTAAGACAGTTGCATACTTACATTTTCTTGTAATGTGTGTAATGCTCCAATCCATCTAATTTGAGTAAGTGAAAATGGACCTTAAGACTGAACTTCTTCCAGGGCATAAACTCCTTAATGGAAATAAATTAGGTATATCTTTAACATATTACATTTTTCAGAAGAACAAGAAGAGGCTCTGCAGTTGACATTTATGAGCCACATCAGATCTCTTTAGACTCCCCATATGTATTTTTGCTTGCCTGTTTTTAAGACACTCCTTGAATGACGGTCTTCCCATAAATTTGACTAGGTAAACAAATTTAAACACCTCCTTCTGCAATCACACGAGTAACTTATATGTACACATTTTTTTCTCTATTTAAACCTCAAATTTATTAAGCATAAAACATAACCTGTTCTGTTGAACGCTCTTGTTGCAAATGTAATATTATTACTTGTAATTTTAAACATACTTGTAGCTGTCTCATTTTCACACCTGTAGAAAAAAAATATGAATAGATTATTCAAATGATTTAAATCCCTTTGAGACATGGGCCTTACAGCAATACTATAAATTTTGTTTTCCCTCCAAGGTTAGTTGTGATGTTGGCCTTGATTTAAAACCCAAGATTCTGTGGCAAATGGCAATGATATTGAGCTCTGACAAATTGAATTGGTCTCAAGGTATTGGAGCATGACTAATAAATCTGCAACCTGATCCAGAAAATATTCTATACAAGATATTTTTTCTCCTTGAAACACATGTGACACTTTTAAGTGTTAATACCACTAGCTGTTTGTTTTACTTAAATTGTGTGTTTGGGAGTAATTTCATTCTTGTTACGATCGACACCCACCTGTTTATGACAATTGCTTTGGATAAAGATACAAAGCAGTCTTATTTTGTTTTGTTTTCCATGCAGTGTAGCATTTTATTTTTAATGTCATCCTTTGCAAGAGTTGGCAAGGTACTGTTTACTACTGTATTTTCTGTAGCTTGTCATACCATGAAGGGGAATAACATGTTTTCATAAGACTTTTCCAGGAACGTGACTTAAAATTTACCACTTAAAATGTACTACTGTACATCAAAGTCTTAAACACTTTTACTGATACCAGAAAGAATGAGACAACATGTCTAAAACATAATATGCATTTTTAGAAGTTCAATGAAGAGATTCAAAGACAGAATTATGCTTTCAATGTAAACCTCTGAACCTTATGTTTAACAAGGCTTTATGAGAGGTCTATTTTTAAAGTATTATAATTATCTGTCAGGATATTTGCATGGAATATTTCTTCTTAAAACATTCTGAACATCTCCAAAACGTCCTCACTTTTATTAATTTATTGCTGTGTTTGCAGATGTGCTTTAGCTACTGGAGATATAAATGGCTTATTCACCAGGTCTGAAAAAGTCTTTGAGATCCAGCTCAGATGCCTTCTCTCTCACAAAGTCTCCTGTCTTGCTGTATCCCACACGAATCTCTCTTTTAGAAACTCCAGGCTTTAACGGCATAATTACAATTTTATTATATACAGTCCTAACTTCAATTTGGACTGGATAGATAGTACATCCCATATATCATGTCTAGTGTTCCTTTAGTTTCATATCCTACCTTCCTGGGGAAGCCTTGCTTGACCACACTAAACTAAAATATTTGTTTACTTCCTCAAACCATGTAGCACTTGATATTAGTATCATACTTTACATGTCCTATATTGTTAATATTGTAAACTTATTTTTCAGATGTGCATATTTTATTTATACACTTCTTTTGAAAGTCAAATGAGGGTAGGTACTAAGACTTACATATTTAATAGAAAGAACATGTGGCTCAATGGCTGTTGAGGTGACTCTATTAAATGGATTATATTTGCTATCCATATAATCTGATTAGAAATTGTATTGTGATATAAATTACAACTATGCTATTGGTTCACAACATTTTATCTTCTACTAGAATATTTTAAGATTAAGCTGTTGAATTCATAAAATAAATTGGCCTCTCAAATCATAAAATCCTATGTTACGAGTAATCATGATAAAATAAGAAAAAATAGCCCACAAGTGAACCAAAGATTATAAAGGAAATGTTTGTAAATGTACAAGAGAAAAATGACAAAAATAAATCTTTAACACTAGGTAATTGGTTAAACTGGGTGTTTGGTGTGTGCGTGTGATGGGGTACTATGAAATTAGCACAAACTGAGAAGAATATGCAATGAATTTTGAAGGTTTCTATTCAAGATCTATTAAACTAGAAATGTGGAATTTTTTAAAAGTGAAAAAAGTAAAAGGTAGGATGATAACAGTCCTCTTTTGCCTGAGATTGAGGAGTGTCCCAGAATAGGGAACTTTCAAAGTTAAAACCAGGAAAGTCCCAGGCAAACCTGAACGGGTTCATCACCTGATAGGAGATCTGTTTTAAATCCATGTGCATGTATGTGATTTACTGTATACCTATGTACACACACAGTGTATTTATACAACCTATACATACCCTTAAACATATGTATCTTATGTACACACACATACTGAGAAAGACAAGGAAACAATGGATGTCTGGAAGAAAATATGCCAGAACGTATGTGTATATGTATGCCTGAGTACGTACACACATATACTCCTACACACACACACATATATAGAATCTCCATTGAAAGGTGGGTATATTTGTCAACTTTGCTGTGTAGCAGACAACCTCAAAATCTCAAAGATTTATAGTGAGACATTTATTTCAGGCTCAAAAAGAGGCCAGCTGAAACTTGGCTAGATGTGGCTTGGGTTGGATCCAGAGTTTTGTGCAGGTCTGTTTTGCATGTCTCTCATTCTGGACCCCAGGCTGAAGGAGAAGGGCCAGCATGAGGCACGGCCATGCCACGCAGACATGAGGAGTTACAAGAGAGTCAGCCTCTGAAAGCTTTTGTTCTGAACTGGAACTTCTGCCCGCATTTAACACGTTACTTCTTCCCACATTCCGGAGGCCAAAGGAAATCCATGGCCAAGCCCAGACCCCGTGGAGCAGGAGGTGGAGAGTGAATATTTGCTGCAAAGTAGTTTGCTCAGGAGAAGTGGAGTGAATATTTGCTGCAAAGTAATCCAATATGCCAGTGTGGGATTTTTGAATAATGTTTATATTTTCAATTACGTATTTTCCCAATTTTCTAAACCAAAGATGTATTACTTTAATACTCAGAAAAATACATAATTAAAAAAACCAAAAACACGTGAAGTCCCATTAAGATGATTGTACTCAGCATAGTAAAGAGACAAATGGTACCTATTCTTGTCTGTACAGAAAAATGTTTTTCTATTATGCAAATGAAAGAGATGACTCTTTATGTAAGTTTAAGGTGTATAAAACTGAGAATAAAAATTAAATAGTGCTAGAAACAGTGTCTGAGTTTGGAAAGAAGCTGTAATACTTTGTGCAGAGATGGCATGTATGTGTCCCAAGAATGTGGCTTTGTGTTAGTTTTAAGGTCCTTAGTTAAGGTAAGAGAAAGAGGACAGCACGGGAAGACTTTCACAGGGAAAATGCTTATAGAAAGATGCTCTGTTCTCCAGAGACTTGACAAGAATGCAATCCTTATTTCTTTATCTGATAATTCTCTGGAGAAAGTATTCAGACTAATTCTTATGATTTAAACCTCTTTAGCAGCAGCGAGCATCCTGGTTTAAAGACTCATCCTTGCTTAAAAAGATGGGTTATCGTAATCCGTTCCCAAGGAACTCAGTCACTATAGAAAAATATTTGGGGAAAAAAATCAGTCATAAAAGAATTCTTATAGCGCCCAAAGTGCCACTTGTACCCACCCACTCATTCGTAATTGTTAGGCAAACGATAACAAAGAATTTGGCCCCTGACAGAGCATTTTAGCAATTAAACTTCTAATGTGTCAGGCTGCCAGCTGTGGAAATGGGCTTCTTGGCTTCTACTTTTTAGTTACTTATAACAATTTGTTTAATTACTGAACCATAAAGCAGACAAAACTAATTAAGAGATGCGACGCTAGGCTAGTAGTGCAGGTGCACATTAGTCGTGACCGCCACCTGTGGCAAGTCTCTGCAGCGCACTTCAGCAAAAGCACCTGGCATTGGCTCTGAGCAGCAGTGAGGCTGGACAGGCTGCCTGAGTGCAAGCCGCAAACCGGGCTGCATCCACCTCACAGACCCACTGCTTCCCTGTCCTGTGAGGTAACACAGGGAATACAGTCCCTCAGTTTATCCTTCAGGAAATCCCAAAAGAAGTTGCCCCTATTTACCTTCCCAAGAATACGGAAAGATAAGATTAAAAGATGGATATAACATACAGTGAGTGTACGTTCCCATATTTTTACCTATAAAAATGTTTTTCTGGCGTATGTATTCATTAATTCATCACAGTAAAGTACCAGTTACAGGTCACATATTTATTTCTGCGCTGCAAATGCAATTTAAAAAGAAACGTTTTAAAAGCAACAAAAATAAGATTTACATACAGCAGTTTGCCAAGTAAATTTTATGTGCATTGGCTCATCTGAGTTTAACTTTACCACTGTGAGGTAGGTCAAAAGGAGGTATTAATATTAAGCTTAGTTCATTAATGAAGGCACACAAGCTGTTTGTAAATGGAAAAAAATCACATGTTGTGGAAAATATGAAGTATATCTGGGACTTTACTCACCTCCTAATACGATGGTTTAATGGAAGAAACTGAGGCTTTGGAGCCGGACATCACGAGTTTGAAGAGTAACTCACTACTCAGCAGGTGTGGCACGTTGGTGAAGTTACTTAACCTTCATGGTTTTCAGATTCCTCAGATGCAAATGTAGATAATAGATTCATTAAGGGCTTAAGACTATTAAACGAAACCGTAGGTTTGCACACAATGCAGTATCGGGTGCCTAAGAGAATGACTGGAGTTGTTAATTTCGTTTATCTTCAGACTCTAATAAGTTATTCATGCATTTGTTTCTTCACTTATCTATATCATGCTTTTTCATAGAAATACAGGATTTATGTATTGATTAGGGCCACGTAAAACATGAAAAGTGAAATTTTTTTTCTTTCACATGGCCAGACACTAGTTTCTCATTAATACATCCTATGTACTTTTTCCCTGTCCAAAATCTACTGTATGTACTGATATATTAATGAACGGGATGTTTTAATGTAAAGCTGATATATATACATATATATGTTTATATATATAAACACTTTTATATAGTTTAAATAATACTAATAAACTATTTATCCTTGTTCTCATTTCAAATAACAGACCTTCAATATTTTAATGCCTTATATGTCCTCTTTGAATATCTCCATATCTAAGTCCCCCAGCCTCTGAAGCAACCATTATCCTAAATGGTCAGTGATAATTCTTTTTGCTTTTTTAAAATAACTTTACTCCGTGTGTCTTTATCTCAAGTTTATTTCACCCATTTAAAAAAATTATGTTATGAAATAGGATTATACATACTCTTTCGTGACTTGCATTTTCTCTCTTGAGTTTGTTTTTGAGATCCAAACATAGCAATGTATATATCAATTGTTCATTACTTTTCACTGCCATGTTTTATATTGTGTCTATACCAAAATATGTTTTGATTATATATTAAGTCTAAAATCTTTTAAGATTGCTATTACATCTCATGAAATGGTTTAATATCACTTGAGGATAAACTGTGATAAGTTAAAACTGTGTACTAGAAACCCTAAAGCAAACCACTAAAACAATAGAGGGACAGCTAATAAGGCAACAAATGAAATAATGTAGAATCATTAAAAAACTCAATAATAAAATTCAAAAAAGACTGAAAAAGAAAAAACTATTAAAGATAGAAAATGAATAGAAATATGATAGAATTTAATCTTATAAATTAATACTTTAAAAGCAAAAGTTCTAAAGAATCAACTGAAAAGGAGAAATTGTCAGATTGGATAAAAGCAAGACTCACCTATATGCAGCCTATAAGAAATAGACTTTAAATATAAGGGCAGAAATTGTCAAAAAGTAAAAGGATAAAAAAGTTATACCATGCTCACATAAATCTAATGAAAACTGGAGTGGCTATGTTAATAGAAGGAGTAAATTTGAAAGCACAGAATATTCCCAAGGATAAGAAAGTCATTTCATGATGATGAATTAGCGAACTTATTGAGAAGTCACAACAATCATAAAAGATTATGCACAAAATAACAAACCTTCCAAACAAAAGAAGCAAAACCTGATAGAATAGCAAAGAAAAATAGACAAAAACACAATTATATTCCAACATCCCTCTTTCAATGATTAATAGAACAAGTAGACAGAAAATCACCAATAATTTAGAGCACTTGAGCAACAAATTGACTTAGTGGACATAAACATATCACTCTGTTGAATATACATTTTATTCCAGTGCATATGGAATATTTAACAAATTAACCATATTCTGAGGCATAAAGGAAGTCTCGATAAATTCACCACGATTCATATCACAGAAAGTATGGTCTTTGAACACAATGGAATTAAGTTAGATAACAACAGAAAGATCTCTGAAAAATATCCAAATATTTGGGAACTAAACTAACTACTTCTAAGTAACTCACAAATGATAGAAGAAATCAAATGGAAATTAATCTATCAGTTGTTTTTAATGAAATTGAAGACATGACATGTAAATATTCATACAACTCTGTGAAAGCAGTAATTAGAGGTGAAATTAAAACAAAATACTTATATTAAAAATAAAGAAAGGTTACAAATCAATGACTTCCATCTTTAAAAACTATAAATGGAAGAGCAAATTAAACCCCAAAAAAGAGGAAAAATAACAAATATGAATATGGAAATCAACAAAATAGAAATCAGAGAAAAAGGAGAAAATCAACAAATTTAAGAGCTGAGTTTCTGAGAAGATCTACAAAATTGTTAAACTCTAGCAAGACTGATAAGGAAAAACAATACAGAAGACCTAAAACATCCATATCAATTATGACAAAGGTAACTGATTTACAGATGTTAAAGGTATAATAACATCATGATCTACTTTATGCCACAAATTTGGCAATTTTAATAAAATGAACAAATTCCTTGAAAGATAAACACTGAAAAATTTCACTCAAGAAGAATTAGAATAGTAAAATAGTCAACATTGATCAAAGAAGTTGATTTGTATTTGAAACCCTTCACAGAAAAACAAAAACAAAAAACACATCAGGCTCAAATGGCTTCATAGGTAAATTCTTCCAAACATCTAAAGAAGAAATAATACCAACATCCAAAAAGTGGAAATGGAAAAAACAGTTCCCAGTTCATTCTATGAGACTAGTAAAAACCTATTATCAAAGTCATTGCAAGACAAGACCAATGTCCCTCATGAATTTAGAAGCAAAAATTCTAAACAAAAGTTTATCAAATTGAGTCCTACAGTATCTAAGTATAATAATATTTCATGACCAGGTAGAGTTTGTTTTAGCAATTCAAAGTTCTCAACTTTTGAAAATCATTCAGTGGAATTGACTGTATCAAACTAAAACAAAAACCGTACAATCATCTCAGCACACACACCAAAAATTCATTTAACAAAATTCAAAACCCATTTCTGATTTAAAAAAGAAAATCTTTCAGCAAACTAGGAGAGATTTTTTTTTCTTTATTGTGTGTGACATGATTGTTTATTGAATGTTTAATATCATGTGGAGAATAGTAGATACTCAGATAATTTGTATCTATGTCTGGAAATGAGCCTGGCCCTCCTTTTGTCAGAATATTGCTTTAAAGTGTTGAGCCACCTGGTCAGGAGTTAAGCTGAGTGCGGGTTCTATTGTTGCCGTTGTTAGCTACAGGGCACAACAGGATTCAATTTTTATTTTTTTTGAGGAAGATTAGCCCTGAGCTAACATCTGCTGCAAATCCTCCTCTTTTTGCTGAGGAAGACTGGCCCTGAGCCAACATCCATGCCCCTCTTCCTCTACATTCTTTGTGGGACGCCTACCACAGCATGGCGTGCCAAGCGGTGCCACTTCCCTACCCGGGATCCAAACCTGTGAACCCTGGGCTCCTAAGCAGAACATGCGCTCTTAACTGCTGCACCACCGGGCTGGCCCCAGGATTCAAATTTTTCAAATGCTTTCTTGTGCTGAAGGTGGGAGCTAAGCTACCAGAGGGTTTTCCTCAGTATTCCTGCTCCAGTCTCAGCTTTCAGCCATCATTGCACAACTGCAACACAGAAGGTCACTCTCCAGAGAGAATAACTCTTGCTTCTTCCCCAGGGAAGAATATGATCACCTGTTACTTACTGTTTGCTGGCTGATGGACAGAGGACAGAGGCAGTCCTCTTCTGTCCTGGTCCAGTGTGTCTTAGGTCCCGTATGCCTGGGCTTCATAGGTGGGGTTTCTCATCATTCCTACGCCTCCTCCCGATGATGGCCGATTTCTGCATTATACCTGTGGTGAGTCTTGTGTGGGAGAGATTTTCCATCTTCTCCTATGGTGCTGAGACCTCCAACACTGTTAATATAGAACCCTGTGTAAAACTCTTCCCTGCCATTTCCCCAAGAAAAGAAGTTTGTTTCTACTTCCCTTCCCACAGCAATAATGGGTATTGACGCAATAATGGGTGCCCTGAGAGTGCCAGAACTTGCTTTTGCTCCCCAAGCACGTTAGGTTTTTGTTTAGTATGAGAGACAAGTCCAGGCAGGAGAGGTGCAGCTTCACGGCTTTCCTATATTGGGAGATGATTACTTCCTCTGCCTGTACCACCCATGGGAGGCTTTCTCCGGTCACCTGGACTTGCGCAAGCTCACACAAGCTTTCTTGTGAGCATTTGGTGGAAGTCCATGGAAAACAGCCTCCAAGTGAGTGAAAATTCCCTTGTGTCCAGGGCACTGAAGGATTCTGTGCTGTTGGGCTAGTCTGCATTCACCCTTGAACAATGTGATAACATTCTCACTAATTTCCTCTTGCCTGCTGGAGCTGCGTCTTCTTCCCATGTATTCTGTCTCTCCTGCTTAGACTTCTTTGTCCTGCGAATTTAACCTCAGCTCTTCGATGGAATAAAAAGTAATGATTTTGTAGAGCATACAGTTTATTTTCCTGTTAGAGTGGGAGTGATGCTCTTTGCCAGCTTTAAATATCCTAAGTGAAAGTGGAACCCCATCATTATTAACATATCCTTTATTTCTTTAAACGTATCAAATAAACTTATTTTTAATTCTAGCATATGCCATTTTTGTGGATCTCTTTCTAAAGGTAGTTTCTTTTTTTTTCCCCAGATAATTTTCATTCATGGTGGTTTCATTTTTTAGGGCTTCATTTATTTATTGCTATTATTTTTAATTATAAGCTTTTGGAACTTATTCTGTGGGACTATTTAAATGTTTGTATTTTTGCCTTTGAATTGCATTCATTCTAAATAATTCTCATTGCTTCTAGTAGGTACTTTTTTGAATTAATGTTATTGATTAAGGAAATATTAACTGTCTTCCTAATTAACAAATCAGCCAGAATGAATATCTAAACTATGACTTGATTTTTTTTTATGTGAGTTAAAAAAAACCTCCTATCCAAACCTTAACCAAACTTTTATCTTGTGTTTTAGCTTTTGTCTTCAAATATCAACCTTGAGGACATAAATAAATTAATAAAAATCATAGAAATGCTGTGTTTAGTGAGTGAGTCCTATAAGCAAGGTCTAAAAATATTATATAAACTTAAAGTGTTCTATAATGAAAATGATTGACAATTAAGCCAAATACCCAGACCTTAAAACAAGATGTTTAAGAAACTCTCTGATAAAATTAGTGAGTATAGCCAAACGGGAAACCGTTAAATGACAGAGTGTTACCTTTGAATGGTTCATTTGTTAGTATAGCGGTGGATAAGGAAGAATGTCCAATATTCATTGGGACTTTTTTCCCCAAAATTGTCAATCCATAACTAATGAAGGATACTTTATACCCCTTAGTCATGCATTCATTGGCTGAAATTAGGTTTGACTACTTTTTTTGTTTTTTTGATGAGGAAGATTGGCCTGAGCTAACATCTGTGCCAAGCTTTTTCTATTTTATGTGGGATGCCACCACAGCATAGCTTGATGAGCAGTGCTAGGTCCATGCATGGGATCCGAACCTGCAAGCCCCAGGCCGCTGAAGCTGAGTGCACGAACTTAACCACTATGCCACTGGGCTGGCCCCAGGGTTTGAATACTTTTTAATGCATAGATATATATAGATGCACTTGATTTTCAGTCTCTTTGATTTTTGCTATTTTATACAGATGTTAGACTATTCCAGTAATTATTTTAAACTGAAAAGAAAAAAAAGAACCCACTTTCTCATTAATGATGCTCTTAGTAAACTGAAAAATGAACTAGTATTACAAGTGTTTATGTGGCTATTTCACACCTCTTTCACTGTAATGCTTGGCTTATTCTTAGATGAAGACTACCATTTGGAGTCATTTCAAAACATAATTAAGAACTGTGATAAGGCTTGATCTACTGTTCTAAACTATTCTTGAACGTCTCTAAGTTAGAATACAATCATGAAAGAATAGAGTACATGGATGCCAAATGACAGCATCGAAAATAAGCACAAAACAAAGAAAGAAAAATAACTGGTCTCTATCCAGTGAAAACAACTCGTATTCAAATGCCAAATAATTGTAGATTAACAAGACAGAAATATGATCGCATGGGTTGGCTTACACCCTTAATGTTATGAAATTTTGAATGAACAATGTGGTGGACTGTTTCCGTATCTAGCAATATGGCAGGGGATTTAATGTCATGATTAGGTAAACAAACAAACTGGGTAAGGAAATATCTAATGGAGGAGGTTTTTACTTAAAAATCACTCAGATAAAAAAAAAAGCTCCAAAAGGCAGACACAAGAAAAGCAAGCTAAGGTTCTGATATTAATGGATAATGTGGTGCCATCTGCTTAAAGTAATTTACCCTACATAATTCAAATGTATTCCCTGTACACATCATATTTTTAATATTCTCTTTGTCAGCTCTTTAGACCAAAGGCATTAAACCAGAAACTCTACAGCGGTAACAATGTTTAGGCAATGTAGATACTTTCTTGTATCTGGATGTAGCCCAAAAACCATTTGTCAGACCACATTTCTTGACTTGGGATTTGGGGAAAGCAATCATCCTAACCACATAAGTTGCATGCATTTTCTATTTTCAAATAATACAATAAAAAGCACTTAGCACGAAATAATTCTGAATATAATTTGACATCTTTTATTTATTTATTTTTTTGCTGAGGAAGATTGGCCCTGAGCTAACATCTGTTGCCAATCTTCCTCTGTTTTGCTTGAGGAAGATTAGCCCTGAGCTAACATCTGTGCCAACCTTCCTCTATTTTGTATGTGGGTCACCACCACAGCATAGCTCATGAGTGATGTAGGTCCACACCCAGGATCTGAACCCAGGCCGCCGAAGTGGAGCTTACTAAACTTAACCACTGTGCCACAGGGCTGGCCCTTGACATCATTTTAATAGCACCAAAAAAAACAACAATTTTTAAGGTCACAGCATCATTCTGAGGAAACCAACTATTATAATTTACATATACAATAGGGCTGGCCAGTTGCTAGAGAATTATAATTGATAGACTATCAAGTAAACAAGATGAAACTTTTGTTTTTTGGTGTTTTTATCCATTATCTGATAGACTTAATGGTTGGGGAGTTAAACAGTACATCTCAAAAATTAATTCATATTTATTCAGGAAATCAAAAATTGGCTTTTCAGCACAAACCAATAAAAGAGGATTATCAGTTTTAGAAAAAAGAAGAAGCAACTATGGAAATTATGCCAGTGGATCCAATGTATTTATTGAATTTAGCAAAGTGTGAAGAAAAAGTAATTTTGTTTGTTCTCACATTTATTCTGTTTGAATACATTCGAGGGCTTGTTGAAAGCTTGTTCTGTCCTACTCTTAGATACAGTCTTGGACAGATCCCATAGCTTTCCCTGTGACTTACGGGTATTAACATGTACTCTCACTTTTTCAGGTATTAAAAAGTCCAGTCTAATTTAAGATACACTTATTCATGTCATTCAAATCTTCTCCACTCTTTTCACCCCTCTTTATTCCCATCCCCACTCAATCAGCAGGCAGATTCCACCTCGGGCCCGAAGCTTGCAGTGGGAAGGGGGTGTGGAGGTCATTTGCTCTCTTTTCCTAGCTACACACACCCTTCACTTGTATCTCTTGTAATTCTCATTCCAGGGTTGAGTCTGAGAAGGGCAGAGGAGAGTTAGATATGAAAAATCACACCTTCCCTGGCCTATGCTACTGTCAACCAGCATTGGTATCTTCCTTTGCAGGATGTCTAAACGCTGGCTCTTTCCCTCATCTGGCGTTCTCCTCCTACTCCCAGCCCTTTTCTCTCTCTCATGTTCTCATTTTTAGAGACCTCCATATAACGTCATATTCCATCTGCAGGCCCCTAGTTTCAGATGAAACCTCATCCAAGTGATGGTTTCGCACTGTAATCTCCTTGCTCCTGGGGATCCACCTTCATTTAAGGTCACTTCGTTCAGATGCACCACTGTCCATTAATACATTATTTTGCAAATTAGAAAGAAGCACAAGTTCTCCAGGCTGACAGGGCCCAACTGAAATAATGGCACAGGCTGGATTTCAACCTCAACTTGAACCTCTTTGCAGGACACCAACTGTAGCACCGGAAACCATGGCCCTAACTCTGCCTTTCCACAAGGATGTTTTGGAGCCCCTTGTGAGTCCAAATGTGAATCACAAGAAACTTGTATCTTTGCCCAAACATGCTCTGAAAGAGTAACTTTCACATCATACTTTATCCTATTGTGCTCAGGCAGGTCACCACCAAGGCCTTACGATTTTAAAGCGAGTCAAGTAAAGTTCCTTTTATTCTCCCCATTCCATAAGATGTGTGAAACCTTTCCAAGGGGGTTTCTGGGTATCCCTCTCCATAAACCATTATAACATGGCTTAAGGTGAGAGGGAAACCCACCTACCCATCAAATCTCTGAGGACTGGGGAGGGGAGGAGCAATAGAATGCTGACTACTCTCTTCTAAGAAATTCTTGCTCCTAGCCGCTTTAACCTTCTCTTATATTGAGAGTGGAAGAGTTGGGTTGATAAAATAGGGTTGCTGTTTCATAGTATCCTAACCAGTCCTGCTGAAAACTGGATCCCACTCTTCTCAGCTTTGGCTGAGGCTGTAAAACTGGAAATTATCTAAAGTGTATTCCTTATTGAACTCCATCCTATTATTAAAGTGTTTGGGATATACAGAGATTGCTGCCTTACTTTTGAACTGAAAACTCTTGTTTTAAAAAACAAAACATATCTATCAAAATTCTTCGTGAAAGGACAGAAATGGTAAAGTTGGCCAGGACAACAATAACCCAGCAAAAGTTAATCAGTCAGTAGGTCACATACGGGGAGGTCAGCCAAGGCATGTAGAAGCAGGTGAGAAGGATAATGATCTAGAAGGTAGATGGAATGATTTGTACCAGTAAATAGTGTTGGGGCATCAGATTTATGTCCACTGCATTTAGGATAGAGAGTACCA